ACTGTACCGAGCATGGATTATCGCCGCTTTGGCTTACACGGGGTGGATTGTGGTCTTGTATAGTACTAGTTATGCGTCGACCATCCCCGGGCTGGTGGAGGAATTCGACTCATCAACCACAGTCGCAACTCTGGGTATGACAACATACCTGCTGGGCCTGGCTGCTGGCAGCCTGTTTCTGGCCCCCGTCAGCGAGTTGTACGGCCGTCAAAAGGTATACCTTGTGTGTCTTTCATGTTGGGCGCTGCTCATTCTTCCCAGCACACTGGCAACAAATTTGACCAGTATCATTGTCAGCCGCTTCTTTTGGTAAGTGATTTTCCCTCCTTGCTAGTAGCTTGGTCCCCGAGACTGACTTCTGCCAGTGCTTTCTTTGGTGCCGTCATGATTGCCAATAGTCCTGGTACTGTCGTTGACATCGCCAACCCGGAATTCCTTGCATTTGTGTTGTCCATGTGGAGTATTGCCCCGATGAATGCGCCCAGCACTGGTGGAATCATCGGCGGCTTCGTTTATCAGTACCTTGGATGGAGATGGAGTGGTTGGATCGTCCTCATTGGTGGCGGAGTCGGAATCGCTCTCATGGCTACATGCAAAGAGACATACCCTCCAACGATCTTGCAACGAAAAGCAGCCCGAATGCGTAAAGAGACCGGCGATGAGCGATGGTGGTGTCAGTTTGACCAGAGAGTTTCCAACTTCGAGCTCGCAAAGATCAACCTCAAGCGGCCGATCATTTTATTCTTCACAGAACCTATCCTTTGGTTTCTAAATTTTTGGTAAGTAGTCTCCTCCTCTTGCGCTTTGTGATTTGGCCCCTGTGGCTAACAATTTAGGCTGTCTCTTGTATACGGAGTGTTGTATCTTTGCTTTGTTGCCTACCCCATCGTGTTCTCGCAGCACAGAGGATGGACTCCCGGTATTGCTGGACTTGCCTTCTCGGGTATTGGAATCGGCACCATGATCGCCATTTTGACTGAGCCTCTTATACGACGTTTCATCAACTCCCAGCCTCGTGATCCGGAAACAGGAAAGGTGCCTCCAGAGGCCACGGCGCTCGTCATGGCGATCGGGTCAATCTTCACAGCCGTAGGCCAATTAGTTTTTGCGTGGACTTGTCTCCCCACAACCATTCACTGGGTCATCCCCATCACCTTTGGAATCCCCTTCGGCCTCGGCAACACCTTATCCTTCATTTATGGCGCGAACTATCTTGCTGGAGCGTACGGCATTTATTCTGCCAGTGCGCTTGCCGGTAATGCTGTCGTCAGGAGCATATTCGGCGGAGTCCTGCCTCTGGCTGGAGCGAAGATGTATCAAGCTTTGACACCACAGTGGGCTGGAACATTGCTGGGTCTGCTTGAGGTTATGATGATCCCGATCCCGTTTGTCTTCTGGAAGTACGGCGCCAAGATTCGATCAAAGAGTCCCGTGATTTGCCAGTTGCGCGAGGAGCAAGAGAGACTGGACGCGAGAAGGGCAAGATACCTGGCGAAGCTGGCAAGACGAGAGGCACAGGCGGCAGAGAGAAATGTGGAAAAGAACTCGGGGGCCGAACAGGAAGTTACTGTCACAGAAGGTCCTGGGGAAGAAAAGGTTTCCTCGGCATAGAGAGCTGGGAGAGACGATAAAATGGCTGAAGAACGAGTGTACTACTGGTAGTACCTATCCTATCAGTAAGCACATTATACACAGCGAGTCGAACTTGCAAATATAATTAAATAGCAGACGCAGATAGCAAGTCTTCTTAAGAGAACACTACTAGTTAGCATAAATTGGTGGATTAAAAGCGTGGAAAAGGAAGGGATAAAATAATATAATAAGCGTACCTTACACATTCATCGTTATTCAAAGAGAGAAAGCCCTATGTCATATCGCCGAGTGGAATTAAGTAGATGTGAGGAGGTGTAGATGAGTATAGTTGATGGTGATATACCACGCACCCAGTCAACCAACTGCTTTTCGAAGCTGGGCCAGAACATTTTCTGCAAACTCGTCCCCATCTTCTCCGGGCACTCCGCCAAGAACCACAACTTTGTCTCTGGACTTCATGCCGTGGCTTAAGGAAAGTCTCGACTTGGGGACATCCAGCACGTCACTCAGGAGGCTGACAACGGCTTTATTAGCCTCGCCATCCTGGGCTCGCGCAGCCACACAGAGGTCGACTGTGGAGTCGGAAACACTGAGGATGCCTTCCCGGTTCTTGCTCGCGCCGGGCTTCACGTGCAGGTGAATCTGTAAAGAGCCCAGCGGAGACTTCTTGGAGGCGGCGATAAAGCGAACGGCGCTGGACGATGCCATTGCATTAGCCAAAGGGGTGATCTGGTTTTGTACCTAGGTAGCGACACTGATCCCTCACCGACACATAGATAGGTTAAGGGGTATTTTTTGTGTGTGCAAAGATTGAGATGAACTTGAGGTTGTGGTCAGCACAGGGAGGTATCCAATGAGAGTAAGATGGAAGGAGCCCTGCAGCAGGCGTGAGGCGTAGCAGAGCGATAGGTTGATAGGGTGGCATTACCTGCTGCTGATCTTCCAGGCGCAACTGCCGCCCCACTTGTAGCGCTGAAGCACTGAAGCTGTCGCGCGTCATGATTTCTTGGTGCCACTTGCCTGAACCTTCCCTCTTGCATCCCCATACGACAGAGGCACCGAGAGCAGGGTGACTCAATCCGCCATCCTTGCATCTACGGGAAGACCTGGGTAGGAGGATCATAGATTTCTCTTGGCCAAATAGTCGCTCCCTATATGCTCGCCCCCCGCTCTCGCCGACTGAGTTTTCCATCGAGTGCCGTCATGGCCTCAGCCTTCAGTGCCCTCCATGGCACAACAAACAATTCATCACAGTTCACGGTGACTGCGCTCGGCCGCTGGTCCATTTTGTCCAAGCAACTTCCAGGTAACCAGACCCCACGAGTGTACCGTCGCGCAACCTATTGCCTAGACAATAGCTGATTGGAGAACTAGCTGTCGAGAAAATCAAAGCCCTGCATGTCTACGATTTTGACAACACATGTACGCATCTCCCCCGCGCGCCCTGTCTTCCCTCCTTTTGCGCCCGATGTACCGATTTGAAAATATCCTAATGCGAGCTCGTTGGTGTCTAGTGTTCAAAACCCCCCTTCCCAATCCCTCTCTTTGGCAGGGCCAGACCATTGGGCTACTCTCCAACCAAGAAACCTTCGTGAACGGCGGCTGGTGGCACGACAACAGGATACTCGCGGCAACGGGCGAAGGTTTGGAAAAGGAGGAACCACGCGGTTGGGAAGGCTGGTGGAACGAAAAGATTCTTGAGCTTGTCAAGCTCAGTATCAAACAACCCGATGCTCTCTGTGTGCTCCTGACTGGCCGGTCTGAGCCAAAGTTCTCCAGCTTGATCAAACGAATGATCGCAAGCCAAGACCTGGAGTTTGACATGGTTGGTCTGAAGCCACCTGTCAGCCCAACGAACCAGCGCTTCCAAAGCACCATGCACTTCAAACAGCTCTTCCTCACCTCATTGATGGAGACGTATAAACTAGCCGACGAAATCAGGGTTTACGAGGATCGCCCGAAGCATACGAAAGGATTCCGCGAGTTTTTCGCCGACTACAACAATCGACAGAATGCATACCCTTCCAGAGGACCGATTACAGCCGAAGTCATCCAAGTGCCTGATTGCTCAACGACGTTGGATCCCGTTGTTGAAGTTGCCGAAGTTCAACATATGATAAACTCACATAATCAGATTGCCTCAAAGCAGTCCTCCAAGAAGAAACTTAGGATCAAGAAGACTGTCTTTTTCACAAGCTATACTGTTGGCCCCGAGGATTCAGAGAAATTAGTCAAACTCGCACGCCTACCCGCAAACTTCAATTATACAGACCTTATCTGGCACGGCAATAATATCCTTATTTGCCCCAGACCCTGTCCAGCTAGTATCCTGGACAAGGTTGGCGGCATGGGGAGCAAAATGAAGTGGGAGGTCACGGACACTGGCCATTTCGACAACAGCATCTGGGCCGCTAGGCTACGACCTGTCCCACTTACTGCCAAGTACCATACTGACAACCCAGTTCCTTTGGTTGTGTTGGCTCTGAAGAAGGGTACGCGTCCGATTGACGCTGGGCGGATTGACAACTGGCAGCCCATTCCCCAGGATAGAACATTCATATTCGAGACTGTTATTGGAGAGAAGGTCATACTACGCATAGAACCTGACGACCCCAAGGAGGATGAGTACGAAAGCCTCTTTGCGAATAAATCATCAAAGCGAAAGCACACCGGCGATGATGAGTGGGCTGGACGCAACGCATCTGGGACCCACGGTGGCCGCAATGATACCAGAGGATATCACACAAGTGCACGAGGCGGTCGCGGCCGCGGAGGTCAGAATCGCGGCAATAAGAGCCATCGCGGAGGAAGAGGACGCGGTCGTGGCGGATTTTACAATTATCGGTCTCTTGACGATGTTGAACCCAAGGCTCAACAGGGGGGCCAAGCCCCTCAGGTAGACTACGACGATTCATTCCCATCTCTTCCCCCCAAGCAGCCTAATGGGCACAATGGCTGGCAAGGACAGGCGAACCAGCGGCCTCTAGGGAAGCAAGCAGGAGGTGGGCAAGACCTGCAAAACTATTATTAACCTCTAGGTTATTACTACTCCCGCAGATTCCAGGTTGAGTATTCTACTCTCCAGTGTTTGCGATTGGCACTCTTCTAAGAGATACTGAGAATGGAAATTTGCGACATTTTTTATGTCTTTCGAGCACCGAGTTTAGATGTCGAGGTAGTAGACATCTGCGAGTGTGTCTTTATTGTCTATTTCACTTATATGCGGAGCGTTTTCACTGTTTAGGCTCAGTTAGGGCAGGTCAAAATACCACTACGAGATAGTTAGGCGTCTAGGAACAGAGGTCAAGGGTTTCAAATGATACCACGATACGGAGAAGAGAGAATAAATACTTTGCATCGTTTCTTTTCATTCATTCTATTTGCCATCGATATGGTGAGCGTAAACTCTACTCATCGTCACTTTCCTCTTCGTCGTCGTCATCCTCCTCCTCGGCGTTTTCAAGCCACTCCACCAACACTTTGCTCTTCTCCTTGAGCGTCGTCAACGTCTCATTCTCAACAGCGCGTGCGTCCTTCCACCATCCAAGGATGCCTTCCTCCTCGAGGATGTCCAGAGCGTAGAGCTGCTGCAGCAGGGCCGCGAGGAGGATCCCCGCCCTAGGGGTCTCGACTCCCTTGACGTACTGGAGCGCCTTCTGCAGCTGCAGGACGAACTCGACCTGCTCGGCCTCGCCGCCGCCCACGCCGACCTCGTCGATGAACTTGGTGGCGCCCTTGCGCGCGGTGAGGGCCTTCTCGGCGGCCTTGCTGGGCTCGAGGGAGCCGTGCTCGGGGGTGAGGAGCTCGGCGGCGCGGCGGGCAAAGGCGGCGGCGACAGCCTTGCGCATCATGTGGTCGGAGGCGTCGTTGGCGAGGCGGAGACCCATGAACTCGAGCTTGGCGGAGTCGAAGTCGCCGGTCTCGGCTCGGAGGGCGTCGACGAGGCCGTGGACGGCGTCGGCGTGGAAGCCGGCGCGGCCTGCGGAGTCGTCAGATGCGAAGGAGGGGAGGCGGGAGCGTGTTGATGTGGCACCTTCGGAGATGATGCCGTCGTCCTCGTCGTCGGAGTCGATGGCTGAGGCGAGGGTGGAGATTGTGGATGTGGAGATGTTGAGGTTGGCGAGGGAGTAGAGGAGAGACTTTTGGAGTCTCGAGGGGTCCTGTTCGTCTAGTTCGTCGTCTTCGGAGTCGTAGAAGACGCCTGCATTGGTGGAATCCCCGAGGAGCTTGGCATTCTTTGTCGCAGGGGCGCCGGAAGATGTGACCGTGGATGCGACAACCCCATCCTGGAGAGTGATGTTCTTGTCGATCTGGACTCCGTACGATAGGAGGGATCCGGAGAATATCCTAGACTTCTCGCCTACATGGGCGGAATCAGCCAGGATTGACTGGGAGATATGAGCACCGTCCTCGATTGTAACTTGATTCCACAGGTAAGAGTTCTCCAATGTCACGTTGGACCCGATCTTACAGTCCTTGCCGATGACACAGTTGGTAATCTTGCTTCCGGCTCCGATGGTTGTGAAGCGCCCAACAACAGATTTTGAAAGTTTGGCGTCACTGGCCAGAGTGACACTGTTGTCTATGACAGCACCATTCGACAGCCGGGTGTATTTTTGTGAGGGGATGATGTTGTTTTCAGGGAGGAAGGGTGCGGCCCAGCGGCTAATGATATCCTGGCTGATCGAGCTGTACATCTGAAGGTTGCTGGCACGAGCAGCATAACCTTCCTCAAGCACCTCAGCATAGATCATCTTTCCATTAAGCTCCCAATCTTTTAAGACACCGTGCAGGAAGTTCTTCCGTGGCAGCTCATAGTCGAAACTCTCTGACCACAAGGCCAGCACCTCGGGTGTGCAAATATCGATCTGTGCATCGATCAGGTCTGCCCGCACTTCAAAGTCCGTTGACAACTCATCCGGGATCGCAGGGTCTAGAGTGATGTAGTGGTCGCTTTGTAGCGGGCTGATCTCGTCGTAGTGAAGACATCTTTGGTTTTTGGCGTCGATTGCAAACACCGGCGTAATTCCATTCGTCTTTGTGCGATGTTCTACAAGCCCACCACTTCTTAATACCAGAGTCATGATGTTGGCCGCACTAGTCTCTCGCCGTTTTCGGTGCGCGGCCAACGCCTCGTCCAGGATGATGTTTGAAACCAGGTCACCGTGCACCAGAATAAAGTCGCCGTCGACAAGAGAGCGCTTGTCCATGTCTCGGAGGACATCTCCAACGGACCGCGCATCAGACACTCGAACGAACTGCACGACGGAGAAGGGAGAGGATCGAGAAGTCGTCGCCCATCTGGACCGGTTGATGTGGTCTTCGACTTGGTCGGTGTGTGCGCCGCAGTAGATGTAGACCTCGTTCACGCCATTCATAGCAAGGAACTCCAGCGTATACTCGATCAGAGGTGTGTTGGCTAGCGGGAGGAGGCACTATGAGGGCTGCGGTTAGCTTCCGGTCGCAATCTGAAGATCGGATGGCGGCTCCATGGCATACTCGTGGCTTTTCTACTGTGAATGGGCGAAATCTATCTTGGAAGGAGTCTGCAAGGACCTGGAGTAGATTAATCGTCAGCAGTTGGGTCGAACAAATGTCGAGCTTCAGTGGCCGATTCTAGACTCACCACAGCCTGGAGCACATCTTCGCTCTTGCTCTCGGCGCCGGATTTTGTGGGCTTTTTGCCCTTGGAGGAGCCCGCACTATTCTTTCCCTTGTGCGACATTTATACGGCCCTTTTTCTGGGGTTCTGATGTTGGGGCGAGGTGAGGTTTCGAATGCATAGAGAAAGGGTAGATGTGTTGTATGTGTGACTCAACGCATACGATTCGCTAGAAATTTCTCACCGAGGTGAGGCTCGGTGTGGGGGATGGAGGGGCATGGCGGGGTTCCAAATTCGCGATTCCAGCTTACCCTGTACCGCAAGGCGGCCATGCTTGCGATGCGCCGGGACTTCAATGCGTGAGACCCGACCTTGCATCGGGCGAGCGCAACTGTCGCCGTCGTCCTACCCTCAACGGCCTCTGGGTTGCCCCACGTCATAAAAAAACAGTAATTGACCTCATTTTGCTTGAGCCGACCAAGTGGTTCTCGTGGTCTTGATGAAGTCAACCGGTTCATCTACGGTCACGCTAGAACTCAGCTAACGGTGGGTGTTAATTAAGCGAGAATCTCCGCGATACTTCTGGTTAGCGATCAGCATTCACTACGCCATGCCCCCATCGCAACCCCTGCCTAACAACTGTTGACCTCTTCAAGCATCACGATATGGTTACCAGCCCTAGGTTTAATAATCAATCACAGCCATTTTCCAGCACCTTGGCGCCGAGAAAAGACGCTCACCGTGCCTTAGCAGCTGTGGAACAGACAGTTTTGCACATTGGTAGCGCGCCGCTAGCACTCTAAATGTCAATGATCTCCCGGTTCACCAAAGTTCCGGCGCAAAGATTAATTAACGACAGCACAGGGCAAGATGTCGATCAGCATTGGATGTCACCTCAGTCTGGATCGGGAACAGGAACAATGTGCAGAGCCAAAAAGGTAACTAGCGACCTGAATGCTTGATGCAAGTCCACGTATGGGCACAGCTGAGGACTGAGCTAATTGATCGGCCGTCGCAATGGGAAGTTGGAGCCCTCCACGTACTGCGAATCCCGGCACTCAGCCTGCACTGCGCCCCTCTATATGCACAGGAGCAAATTTTGGGTATAGGCTAGCCATAATGTTTCCTGGGTGGTAACTAAAAGGCCCAAACGGGAATTGAGGAAGGCAGTTGAGCACTAAACAAGGAGCCACCCTCCCTCAGCGCCCCCCGTTCTCCCACCCCAAGGCCATGTAAGACCTAATCGTTAGTGGCGATCATTGTGAGGGTGCCTGCTCCCTTCTGGCAGGTTCGCATTCCAGCCAAAGACCGCTTGAATGGAGTATTGCGCCTCGCTGGTACAGCTTCATTCCTCAGGTCCACGGGAATGCCCGGTGCTTTTGCGCAAAAACAATGATAAGAAACGACGGAACAATTTTGCACATGCATGTGCGCATCGTATTGCGCCCGACCCTTGCAACCTGAATCTGTGTTCTACCGTCTCATCGGGCTTCCCAGCGCGTCGGATACTGGGAACCCCTGTTATGGACCATGGTGAATTACGGCTAGATCCGTGGGCACGCTCAGTTGCAACACAGATGGGGGATCGCCTCGAGGAAAAAAACAACCTTGCCCTGCTGAACATCATCAGCCGAAGTGATATCCCTTTTCGTGTTTCTGTGCATGGCGTGCGGGCCTCCTTGATGCAACGACAAAAAGCAAAACAATATATATCAGGAGAGACAGCAGGGTCCAACCGTGGCCCTAAATAGCTGCGCGTGTCTGCTCTACCGCTTCCTCGATCTCTGATGAGACACCCGTCTCGCGGTATCTCAGACCAAATGGCAGTTTTGGCCTCACATCAGAAATGAGTCGCGTAGCCTGGCGAAAGAAGCTTCCATCAATCCAGGCGCTAGGGCGGTGTGTCTTGTCTGTGGCAGTGACATAGACCTTGCATTCTTCCTCTTAAGACACTCACAGCACAGGCGCGGGCCACGATAGCCGGTTGCAATTATCAACTCAAACCCCTGCTGTTTGCACATCCTCCAGTCTTTCCCCTCCTGCCGGCCACCCGCGCGTCTGTGCTACGCAACGAGCTGGCTGTCGTCAACCTTCAAGGTTTGAAATCCTATCGCCCTCTCTCCATAGCTTGCAACCTGTTGATTGGCGGCAGGTTGTGAGGTCTGGAGGCTGGTTCGCAGATGGGCATTATCCATGTCCCCCCATTGGGCCCCCTTGTCTCGAGCTGGACATCAAACTTCAAACTGTCACTTGACTCTCCTTGTGGTGGCGTCCCGGCATTGCTCGTGGAAACAGTGAGACCTGTCAACGACTTTGTCACACAGCACTCTTGCTATCGTTCCTCCTCATGTCATTTAGTGCTGCATACGTGAGCATTGTGTCATCTGGCCTGTGAATGTGCAAGTTCTGACAGAGAGATGGTTAGGCTCGCACCAAGAGGCCAGGTACCGGAGGCCAGGGCTAAATGGCTCTAGTGGCCGATGTGCTGAGTCGGATACCTCAGAGTGCCATCCCCACCGCCCAGCGGATGCGCAAGCCAAGTACCTGCCTGGCCGAGGTACTTTGGCCGCCTTGCAAGGTACTTGGCTGGTCTGTGCGAATGGCGCTGGACCACACAGTCCTGCGCCCACCTGATCTGATCGCTGATTGGGATCTGTCAGTCTGTGCCGCTCTGCTCTCCTCTCCTAACCCAGCCGCTCCCCCTGGGCATATCGCGCTGGAGAGGTAGGCTTCCCAACTCCCGCCTCGCTATCTCGCAATCAGGGTGTGGTGCGGCATCCCGATGGCACCTTCGGGATCGGACACATAATAGGTTATCTAGTATTTGGCGATGGCCGGGGTTGATAGCCTAGTGCGCTGAGTTGATATATTCCAATAGTGACTTTTCCCGGCAAATTGGAAGCCGAAGAGTCGCAGTGGCAGCCGTCCGCCTGGGACGATTAACGCGGCAGGCCAAAGAAAGAAGAACCCCCAACAATAATAATGATGCAATCCCATCTCCCGAGCAGTTCAGCTCTTAATTAGAACCTAAAGTGTAATGCCTACCTGAGTAACGGACTAATTTGTAACCGGCATTCTTTGAACGGTGCTAGTCTTTTAGGCGACGAGGGAAAAAAACCCGAACTCGCAAGGGGGGATCATCGCTGCAAGCTTTTTCCTACCACTCACGTTGGGGGGAAAGGGAGGTGGCTAACTCGAAAACGGCTTCTCCCCCTTCCGCCAGCACAGCAAGCATCAAGGAGGCAGGCAGAGAGGTACCTTCCGCCTAGCTTTAATTGATCCTGGTCAAGCACGTCCGTCCATCGTCCCACCCCGATCCACCACCTTTGGCCAATCCCTCTTCTCCCCCCGTTCATCCACTGGACCTCGTCCGCTTCGAGACAGAACATATCTATCCTACCTTCTTTTGTATATACAGCATTATCCATCTGTCGCCTAGCCAATTGCATTTGCACCCGCGAGACTCCTCCAGTATTGGTTTCGCACACTGGTACATCTGAAGCCTGCGACTTCGACGCGACCGCTAGTTTCTTGGCCATCTCGAACCCTCGATTCCCGCGCGGTAGTACGTACCCTGCGACGAAATCAATCCCGGCCGCGACCTCTTCCAACCCAGGCCCTCGACTGCACCGTCGTCGACAAGTCCGTAACCGTGGTCGATCGTTGTCGCGGTCTACAGCAGCCTTATTAGAGGTCATCTCAGCTTGCTCGGCAAGCTTCTTGCGCCATGTCGAACCCCGAGATGGCTGCCGCCACGGGGGGCGGAAACAATGCCAGCGAGTTTGTAAGTCGCAGAGACATCAGGTTGTCGGTCTTGCATGCACATTCAACTAACACGGCCCGCCTAGGTTCGCAAATTGTTTCGGTGAATATTGCTTGCCTTCATACCCGAACCGGATCGTTCATTTCTAATGCGTCGACAGCATGCTCGAGGACCCTTCACACCAAGATGTCGCAAGATGGGGAAAGGACGGCGATACGTTTGTCGTCGTCGAGGTGCGTTTCTCGTCGCCAGCATCAAACTCTTTTATGGACTTGTGGGATTCTGACACGACTTCTGCAACAGGGCGAAAAGTTCACTCGATCCATCCTCCCGAAACACTTCAAGCACAGCAACATGTCGAGTTTCATTCGACAGCTGAATAAATACGATTTCCACAAAGTCAAGCCCTCAAGCGATAGCGAAAATTCTTCTCCTCTTGGGAATGTGAGTCGGGAACACTACATCATCTCATGGGAGGCTTCAGCGCTGATATATCTTGTGATAGGTTTTGGAATTCAAGCACCCGTACTTCAAGATCGATAGCAAAGATGACTTGGATAATATCCGACGAAAGGCTCCGGCTCCGAGGAAGCAGCAGGTGAATGAAGATTTCACTACCAACCATCATATCAGCGTCATGTCCGAACAGTTGGCAGCCACGCAGCAGCAGGTCCAACAGCTCCAGGAGTTGTTTACGGAAGTTTCTCAGACCAACAAGATTCTGGTCAATGAAGTCCTCACATTAACCAAGATCATCAATGCTCAAAAAGCAGCGCAGCATGAAATGCTCAACTACCTCACGCCATACAACAGCGACAACCAGCGTACGCCCATCATCAGCCAGACCATCAACTCAAACGGACGGGCAAGTGATGCGGATGATGCCTCAGTACCCGAGCTTAGGAGGGCTCGCGAACTTCTTTCGAGCGTGAGCACAGATTCTGTCACTGACCGTGAGCTGGAGCGGTTACAGCAACATGTCTACGGATCACCCACAGATTCATCTGCGATGATCACGCCGACATCGCTTCCCTTGATGAACGATCCGATGCACGACATCACCCGCTATCCCGTTTACCCTGTCGGGCAGACTGTGGGAATTGATCCGTTCCACTCTGATCACATTCACAAGATTCCTTACGCCATGCCTAGCGATGTCAACGCCAGCGTCCTAGGTGACCAGCCACAGGCACCCACGATGGCGCCAGCTCCAACGCAAGCTGAAAAGCCAGATGCCATGTGGGGTCCACGAAAGCCTTCAGTTTTCCTCGTCGAAGACGACCCTATCTGTGCCAAGATTGGTATCAAGTTTCTCAAGTCCATGGGTTGCGAAGTTGAGCATGCTGTAAGTGATGCGTTT